CCTGAAAGCCAAAAGTGTCCACACTTAAAAGGAAAGGTTTCTCAGTAACTGTATACAATGACAGGCCTGCAATCTTACAACTCACATCAGGGCAAAGACTACAGCAGCTTAACTACTGTACTGACATATTGGATTCAATGTTTAGATACAATATGAAACATTTATTAAATGCTCTACAATTAATCTGAAACTAATTTAGATACTTATGCAGTTGTGCTGAACAGAATTAAGTGCAGCAGTATAAATATAAATAATGAATAATAAGCTGTAGTTGACTATCATGGTTCTGGAATCCTCTAACAGACAAATAATGAGCCATTTGATTTTTGTAGTTTCTATGGGAAGTCATTTAGAAGTGTTTTAAATGTACTTGGGCAAGAGAACAATAACCTATTATTCCAAATAATAACATAATAATAATCCTATTTTTTAAATGGTAGCAATAAAAAAGTCACAATAAGAGTGAGAGGAATTCAAATCTGTTTTAATGTATCATCTTGCCATACTCTCTAGTAAATAAGAGGAAAATGTTTCTATTACCGACTTTTTGCTTATAAATGTTAATTGATTATCTACTATATGTTAAGCAACATGATTTAGAGGTGAAGAAGAGCTAGAAATGTAAGTAACTTACCCTAAGCATCATGGACTGAAACTCATTAAAATAAGAGAGAATTTCTAACATCTGATTTATTCATTTAAAATAATGTCTTCTCAGGGACAATGCTTAATGATTTCTCTATTCATATAGCATCTTACACTACGCACTATAGTAGCTTCCACTTTGCAAAGAGGTTTCATGTAAATATCTCATTTAGTGTTCACAAATACCCTTAGCAGTGGTCAAAACTATTACAAATCCAATTTTGCAATTGAGAAAGTGAAACTGATAGAAGTTAAGTGAATTATCCACGACAACACCAATGAAAAGTTATTGAACCAGCATTAGGCCCAAGTCTCCTGGCTCTGAGTTTAGTTCTCTTCCCAGGTACTTTTGAATTTAAACAGCAGGTCAGTCTGGTAAAGCTAAAAATGTCTTGAGAACTCAGCTCTGGCGAAGACATGCTATCAGGAGTCTTCCTAAAATAATGGTCTCATTTTATATTTGTGTAGAGCCATAAAGAAGTTGAAGGATTGGGACTGTGATCTTTGGCACTCATTTCTGCTCCAATTATATATCTTAAGGGCTGAGAAAGACTTTCGCATTCGCAGAATCCAGCCCCCCAAAATATGGGGTACTGTACTCAACACTGTTGGTCATTTGGAAGTCTCTGAAGCTGCGTTTCTTCAAGCTTTAAACAACCACTCATAAAAAATTCACTAGATTCTTAATCCTTAGATGCTTCCTAAGAGTTCAACTGGCTCTTTAGAATCAGTCACAAAAATCAATGACACATGTCCTTAAAGAAATGAAAGCCAAAACACTTTTAGCTTTGCCAAGGGAAGATTTCACTGAAGTGTTTCTCAAACAGAGGTTGATATTTAGCATTCTCAAGTGAGCTGTTAAGCTCTGGCACAATAGAAGATGTAACTTAGTGGCTGGTGATAGGAGACTCCACCCATCTAGGTCCCCCTGTTCTCTCCCTATTCTGTATTTTGACAAAACGGCCTGTTAGTGACTCTTCAGTGGGTCAATATGTGAGTTAGTGGTCTCTCACAAACTCCAAAGAGTCATGAAGAGAGGAAACAAATCTCAAAGGGGAAATTAAGTAAAAATTTGAGTAGGTTTATTAGAACTCATGAAAATGTATTGTAATTCTTTATGTCATATAATTATCTTAGAATACTTTCTAATATTTGGGGGCTAATTAGATTGATATACAGAATCTGAACTTAAATAATTGTCAAACCTGGGAACTAAGATATTTTGAGGACCTTAAATATAGTACCCGTTTTTCATGCTTGAACTTATCCTGTGTTATTACAAATGGCACCTGGTGCCAGGATGTGATTTTTTAGCCCAGCTCCTATGAATCATTTTCTGAGTTTTAAAAAAATAACCATTTTATTTTAGAGCAGTTTTAGATTTACAGTAAAACTGCAAGGATAATTGTACACAGAGTTCTCATCAACCTCACGCCAGCTTCCCCTATTGTTAACAACTCACATGAGTGTGGTACACTTGTCACAATTAAGGAGACAATATTGATACATGATTATTAACTAAAGTCCATGCTTTACTTAATACTTCATTCAGATTTCCTTAGTTTTTACCTAATGTTCTTTTCCAGTTCCAAGATCCCATCCAGGATACCACATTACATTTCATCGTCATGTCTCCTTAAGCTCCTCTGGGCTGTGACAGTTTCTCAGACTTTCCTTATTTTTGATGACCTTGATTGACACTTTAGAAGAATGCTCATCAGATATTTTGTAGAATATCCCTCAGCTGGGATTTGTCTGGTGTTTTTCTCATGATTAGACTAATGTTATAAGTTTCTGGGAGGAGACTCTTACAGACACTTTAATTTACTTGAGTTTGAGGATATTACAGTGGAAAGTAGAAAATTCTCTGGCATAAAAAGAAAGCCTTTTGGTCTCAAGCAGTGTGGTCTGCAGTGAATATCTCACAACTGGAAAAGTGCTGCAAATACAAAGAGAATCTTCCAGCAAAGTCTTTTCTCGCAATAGGCTTAACTAATCCTAGCATGTCACAGGTTGTCATAAATCTATTCTCTCTCTTAAATCCTTCCTTTCTGAAGGCTTTCAACACAATTTCCTATAGAAGTTTTTCTGTAGGAAAAATACTTCGTTTTAAAATATAATTTAATGAGAAAATGGCACTTATTTTATAGAAATCTCTTTATAAGCAATATTTCTGAACTATGTTAGATATCTGAAATCCCCCATGTTATCCCAAACTTAAGTGCATGAATAAGAACATGGGATTTATTAGCCAAAAGATCACTTGAAATTCTGCTGCTGACAAACATTCCTTTACTAGAAGAAGAGTCAAATTAATGGAATCTCTCCCACATCAACCACCTGGGATCCCACGTGGGATCCTGTTTTAAAACGGTGTTACAACTATAGTCTCTAGGCCTAAGTCATGCTAGGACAGGCTGATACTACACTTAGGAGAGCCAAGTTTGAATCTGAATCTAAGAAACTGGTGGAATGCTGAAATGCTCCTCCCAAGAATTTAACTATCTTATTCCATTTTAAACAAAAGCTATGCTATTAGTAGAAATAAAAAGGAGAATAATTTTCCAAATATAGGGGGCCAAGTGCAGTGGTTCAGGCCTGTAATTCCAACACTTTGGGAGGCCAAGGAAGGCGGGGAGTCACTTGAGGTCTGGAGTTTGAGACGAGACTGAGCAACATAGTAAGACCCTGTCTCTACCAAAAAAAAAAAAAAAAAGTTAGCTGGGCATTGAGGGCATGTCCCTGTCATCCTAGCTACTCAGGAGGCTGAGGTAAAAGGATTTCTTGAGCCCAGGAGTTCAAGGCCGCAGTGAGATATGATCACTCCACTATACTCCAGCCTTGGCACCAGAGTGAGACCATATTTTCTAAAAATAAATAAATAAAAATAAATTTAAAATAATTTATTTTAAATAAACTATATGATATACATATGTCTGGTTTTGTCTATAATTTAGTCTTTATAGTTGATGAAGATGCCTTGATGTATATGTATTTACTCAGTCCCTTTATAATCCTACTGTAATCTTTATAATTATTCTGTTCTATGAAGATATAACAATAGCAGCTCACATTTATTTAGACCTATCTGTGCTCTACTTACATTATCTATTTAATCCTGTCTGTTGTAGATATTCACTGTCTTCTATAATGGAAGAAATTGCAACTTATGGAAATTAGATAACTTGCCTAAAGATACACAGATAAAATCATAATTTGAACTCAAGACTAAGCTAAGACCATCAGAATCTCCACTCTTAATAATTGGGTAAATGACCTTTGTGTTAATATGTTTATTTTAAAATGCCTTCTGTGAGAGCAATCACCATATCTTTTCTTTTCTTTTAATTGTTGGAGTCTCACATTTAATTTCCATTCATATGCCACCATATTTAATAATAGCTGGAAAGAAGGAAGAGGATGTTTTATTACTGCTGATTACCACTGTGACACACAAAAATCAAATTTCTTACCCTAATTGACCCAGAGACCAACAGTCAGATAAGGCAAGGCCAGCCGTTCAGCATCCCTGTTACCTAGAACTGCAGTGATGGTGGCTTGGGTCTCCATTTTCTAGGAAACAGCATATTAACAGAAAATCTGAGGCATAAGACCAGCAGATGAGGAGATAACTGCCCTCCAAAAAACAGTTTGTTACACACAGCTCAAAAGAAAAGAGGGCATGCCATGGCAGAGGGAGTCACCTGGGAAGGCCCTAGGATCAGTTGGGAGACTGAAGGAGAAGGGGGAACTGGGGAACTGAGGAACTGTGGGCAAGAGCCTTGATTGCGGTAATCTGAGAGAAGGAACAGGAGAGGCAGAGTAAGCAGGCTTAGGATTGGCTAGTTTGATTCATTTCAGTGAGCTCTGCGGTACAGGAGTTTCCATCTTTAAAGGGGGCATATCATACTCACACAGAAAGTTTAGTGTCCATCAAGCATTACAAAGCAGAATTGCAACTATTTCTCTAAATCCATTTCATTAGCAAGCTACATTCTGTACTCGTGTATATGTGTATACAATACACACACACACACACACACACACACACACACACACACACACACAGAGGACAATTTGCCTAAATGTGAGCCCAGCATCAGATACCACCCCCAACAACTCCTCCACATACCACACCAGACATTCTGGAGAGTCTATGTTTAGTGGGCCCAAGGTGACATGGCCCTTTTGGTTTTTCTCAAAAGCCTTAAAATACATTAAAATAAAGTAGAGCTAGATCTGCTTATTTTGAGCTCACAACTTCCTTAATACCACAAACACTATTTTCAAATTCAACAGTACTGTTTACTCCAGGAAATGTTTTCTTCATAGTCACGGCAAAATCAAAAACCACATTATTTCAAGTTTCAGCAAACACTTTATTCCCCTCATTATTGTCTCAGAACTGTTGGAAGCTAAAGCCTGAAAAAGTCCTTCAGCAATAAACATAAATGTTTTACAAAAAAAGAAAAAAGAAGTTGCAAGACGATGTCAGTTTCTGTTAAATGGATTCCTGAGTATTTTGCCTTGGTAAAGTCCCCAAATGTGAACAAATTAGGTACAGCGTCGATAGAAGTAAAAGAAGTAGTCTGTGAAGAATATCCCAGCAAAATAAGGATCAGTTGAACAGTCAGCTAAATCCTGTCAGAACAGGAGAAAAAAAGAAGATGATTAATGTAAAAATTAACTGTAGTTAAAGTGATTTTTTATTGCTCAATTTCTTTCTCACTGAAAAGAAAAAGAAAAAGCAAGCTTACCGGTGCAGCTACACGGAAATGGAACATGCTCTCAGAAAATGGGGCTACAGGGAGGCTCCAAATGTGCTGATATCCCTGAATAATGAATAAAAGAGGATCCATTTCATACCCACATTTGACAGTCAGTAGGAAAGAGTACAGGCTGAAAAGCATTTCCTCAATGGCTGTATGAGAATTATCAGGATCACAGCTTTTGATGGGTGTCACCAGAACAGTCTACAGCTTTGCAAGGACACAAGGAAGAGGCTGAGCCAAGCCCTGTGACTAAGGTTGGCCAGAGAGGGAAAATGCTGGCAATTTGTTCAATGTATTCCTCTCTTGGCAGAGAACAGAGGAGACAGAAAACATTACCTGTGTCATCTCCTGGGAGATTTCTCTGTGGTTTTCAATCCCTTTGGTTTCCCTTTTACTATGGAAACATATATTTCCAAGGGTGAATTTGCACTGGAAGACTATCAATGGCTCTGTTGTGCTTCAAGAGACGAAGAAAAGAAAGAGCACATGAAAAAGCAGTTACCAGCGTCTATAGGATACTCCTTGATAAGAAGAGGGTCTAATGGGAACATAACTTGGAAATCCATTCAAAGTTCACAATAGACATTGTATTAGGCAAAGCTCACTGATACCAATAGGCCAGATCACATCTCATTACGACAAAAAGAAACCCAGTCTCAGATGGCTACTGAAACAGTATATGATGGTTTCTTTTTTCTTTTCTTTTTATTTCATTTTTTTATAGAGACAAGGTCTTGCTATGTTGCCCAGGCTGGTTTCAAATTCCTGGGCTCAAGCAACCCTCCCGTCTCAGGCCTCCCAAAGTGCTGCGATTACAGACGTGAGCCTGGCTGTGTATGACGGTTTCTAAAACCTAATCTCATCATTTAAATCATCTCACATCACAACTTATCTCCATCCTAATCTCATCACTTAAATCATCTCACATCAGAACTTATCTCCACAATATTTTTTCTCATTTTTGGATATATTCCTTCCTTTTCCACTGACACTGAGTTTGCATTTATCTGAAGCTTTCAGGATTTTCGATTTTGTGAATTCCAGCTCTGGGTAGATATTGTTTAAAATAGCAGAGCAAATAAACACAGATAGGAGTTTGGGAGTGAGCCCCATCAGAAATCACTAGATTTTAAAGCTGTCAGAGTTGAAAGCCTGCAAGAAAGAATGGTTCTTCTTCTCTGGACGTCAGTCCATTAATCATCATCAAGAGGATGAGATCTATTTGTCTTTGGGAACAATCCTTTTGCACAAGTTGGGGCAACTTACAATCTCAGTTGAGTATATGTGTTATTTATTTATTTATTTTTTTGAGATGGACTACAGGTGTGCACCACCATACCCAGCTAATTTTTGTATTTTTAGTAGAGACAGGTTTTCACCATGTTGACCAGTATGGTCTCGATTTCTTGACTTTGTGATCCACCTGCCTCAGCCTCCCAAAGTGCTGGGATTATAGGCATGAGCCACCACGCCCATCCAATGTGTTATTTTTAAATCAACCATTTTACAAAAAATGGTTTTTAAACTAAAAGACCTGAGTTAACAGCTCAAAGTGATCTGCCACTTCAGGGGATATAGCATATAACCTTACTTCTTTCCACTAAAAGCTAGAAATGTATAAGAAAATGTTATTTCAGGTTACTCAAGGAGTGCTAGATAATAGTACTTTCAGTTTATAAGAATAGTACATTTAGCTTTTGCTCTGCCTTGAAATATGGTAGGTTCTGAGTCACAAAATATTAGTTGCTTGAAAGAAACCTTTCCAAGGCAGGCAGTTGGCTTGAGTGGCATTGGTTCTCACAGAGGTGAAGTTGATGAGAAAAGGAGTATGAAGCCTGAGTAAGGCAGAGGAAGAGGCAGAGGGCATGTGGTGAAGGAGGGAGGAGGGAAACAGATCTGCGCAAGCAGAGGGAGAGAGGGGAGGACAGGGGAAGGGTAAGAGTGAGAGAAAAGGAAGGGGAGAAAAAGGAAATGTGGAGGGGAATAGAAAGGAGAGACTAAGATCAGGAGACACAAAAAACCATTTATCTTCATGGAAAGTGGCTCATTATATAATTTTTTACTGTCAAGTCTTTAAGTGACATAATCATTTAAAGTATTTGATAAGAATAGATTAAGTTAGAGTTTTGTGATTCGGGAGGAAAGGTAGTGCTAATAAAGGCTACCATTTATTGTGTGCTTACTATGTGTCAGGAAAGGGCAGTGTCCTTGCATGTCTTATCTCACTGGGGAGGCAGGACAGGACAGTGATGGCTCAGAGGATGGACTGAAGTTGAAGCCCAGCTCCATAACTTACTACCTGTGATTTTCAGAATGTGACTTGCCTTGCCTTCCCTTTTGCCTTCTCTCCCCACCTCTCCCTTCCCTTTCCCTTCCTGAAACTAAACCCGAGTGCCCCCATCTGAAAAATATAAACTAGAAAAAAAACAGTGAGGATTTTATGACCCACTATTAAAGTCTGGCATCCAGTCTGTGCTCAGCAGATAGTAGTTATTAATTTCACCATTATTAATAATTCTCACAGCAGCTCTATGTGTTATGGTATAATATAATACTTATATTACAGATAAAGAAACAGTAGTTCAAAGAAGATAAGTGGCTTCTGGAAGATCACATAATAAGTAAGTGACAGAATCTTTGGACCCTGTTCTGTCCAATTCCAAACTTTGGTTCCTTTTTTTTTTTTTTTTTTCCTGTCTTTTGGAAAATAGGGGTGGTATCTGCATTAACATTGCTACCAGGAGCTCACCAAAATGTGCATCTTTCCATCTGGGGGCCATGTTATTCTTCTTCTTCCTATTCTTTTTTTTTTTTTTTTTTTTTTTGAGACAGAGTTTCACTCTTGTTACCCAGGCTGGAGTGCAATGGCACGATCTTGGCTCACCGCAACCTCCACCTCCTAGGTTCAGGCAATTCTCCTGCCTCAGCCTCCCGAGTAGCTGGGATTACAGGCACGCGCCACCATGCCCAGCTAATTTTTTGTAGTTTTAGTAGAGACGGGGTTTCACCATGTTGACCAGGATGGTCTCAATCTCTTGACCTCGTGATCCACCCGCCTCGGCCTCCCAAAGTGCTGGGATTACAGGCGTGAGCCACCGCGCCCAGCTCTTCTTCCTATTCTAATTCTCTCTCTCCAAGTGAGAGAGTCAGGGGAAGTCTCTAGCTTGTGAGCATCAAACCAAAATCACCCCCACTTTGCAGGCATGGGTGTAGAGTTTAGAGCCCTTCCATTTCCTGAAGAAAGCCTGGATGATCACAGCACTCATTTCGAAAACCTCTCCCTCAACTGGCCCACCTTTCAAATCATCATTAGTTAACACAAACTGATAGCTTTTTGCCTCTTCATTTACTGACAAAATTGTGAAGTAAATCCAGACTTGCTATTCAATTAATGATAAAAATAAAATTGTTTTTTTGCAGCCATACACTTACTTTATTTCCAGAGAGAACTTGACATTGGTGGGTGTGTGCTTATTAACAGGAATATTATAATTGTAATTTCCAGATCTAATTACGGAAAAAAATAAAACCACAAATCAAAATATGCAGCAAAGTCTTCAAAGCACTTTTTGATACTCATTATATACTATAAAAACTGTGAAATATTGTATAGTAAATAATATAGAAAATTGAGTTCAACCTGGTATCATTTTTTTTTCTTATATACCTGTCAAATTTCAGAGTGATCTCTTTCAGGTCTTAATATAAAATGTACCACAAAAAGTTATAGTTTTTTAGAACACACAGAAAAAGAAATGATGGAAAGTCAACTCCCAGACCAAGTGCACACAGGAAATGACTTTAGTCCCCTTTAAAGAGACACAGATTTCTGAAGACAAATGAAGCAAAGGCTCAAACTAACAATTCCCCTGGAAATCATAAATATGTTTTTTCTACCCTAAATCACTCTGTTTTGAGCAACAGTTGGAGAAAATACCAGGTACTTTTAGAACCTGAATCTGCTAAATTGTTATAATGCTAATTACCATTTAGTAAGGGAGAAAATTGCAAGACAAGTGCTTATATGTAGATCCCCTCACACCTTTAGGAGAGATCCCTGGATAAAATGGAAATCACTTTGATTTGTATTGTAATAAAAGAACTCCAGCAAAAAGACATATGGTGTCTAAAACGATTTCTCCTTATGACCTGACCATCCCTTGAATTACACGGAAAAGCAACTTAAAATCAGATTGATGGAAAAAAGAGTCAGTCATTTCAGATTATTTTTAAGCAATGCTAAACTAAGTTGCTAAAAATGTAAAAGCAAAAGTAAAGGAAATGGAAAGATCTTGCGTTTTGCATTGAATAGGTATATTAAAACAAAACAAAACAAAACATTATACACCTTGAATATAAACAGTTTTGCTGGTCAATTATACTTCAATAAAGCTGAAAAAATAAGAGTGCATCTTGCATATCAAATTGAGAACAGTGTTATTTCAGGGAGTGAATGTATTTTTTAAAACAGAAAGATGTGCGTTGGGATTAGGAGCCTCTTGTTTGACTGGGAGAAGCTTAGATAAATGGATTTCATTTCCTAAGATGGGTCTCCCGTTATCTGCATGCTTCACAGCAACCCAACTCAGTTTTGACAGTATCCCCACCTTAGAGCTGAGAAATGGGTATTTGGGGAGAATAAACATCTTGTCAAAGTTCTAGGACTTGAACTTGAATCATCTGACTCCTCTATGTCATCCTACCACATTAATTAATATCTGTATCTGACACTTATAGGTGATCTTAGGCAAACTTTTTCAAGTTCACTGAAATTTAACTACCAAACAGGGATAAATTATACCAACCTCATAGGGATTTTGTGAGAATTCAAAGAGATAATGAACACAGAGGTCATAAACAAATCATACATGTCACTTTAATAAACTCACGGCCATCAACTTAAAGCCCAAGTTATATCAGGTTGGAAAAGAAATGAGGCTGAAAACCCACAGGATTTGTGACACTAGTTCAAATTACAGGCCTTGCCTTTAATCTAGCAGGTGCCCAAAAATTAGTTTTTTGTTTGTTTGTTTTTGAGACAGAGTCTCACTCTATCACCCAGGCTGGAGTGCAGTGGTGCGATCTTGGCTCACTATAAACTCCACCTCCTGGGTTCAAGCGACTCTCTTGCCTTAGCCTCCCTAGTAGCTGGGACTATAGGCATGTGCCACCATGCCCGGATAATTTTTGTATTTTTAGTAGAGACAGGGTTACACCACGTTGGTCAGGCTGGTCTCAAACTCCTGACCTCATGATCCACCCTTCTTGGCCTCCTAAAGTGCTGGGATTATAGGCATGAGCCACTGAGCCCAGCCCAGGAAATAACTATCAAATTAAGAAAATAACTCCCCGTTTCTGTGTGTGTGTGTGTCTGTGTGTGTGTGTGTGTGTGTGTGTGTGTGTGTATGAGAGACAGAGTCATACTCTGTTACCCAGGCTTGAGTACAGTGGTTCAAACACAGAGCTCATTACAGCCTTGACCTCCCGGGTTCAGGAGATCCTCCTACCTTAGCCTCCCAATTAGCTGGGACCACAGGTGCGTGCCATTATACCCAGCTAATTTTTATGTTTTTATAAACACAGTATCTCATCATGTTTCCCAAGCTGGTCTTGACCTTGAACTCCTGAGCTCAAGCAGTCCCCCTGCCTCGACCTCCCAAAGTGCTGCAATTACAGGTGTGAGACACCACACCCAACCCTCCCCATTCTTAATGCCTACAACTGGTTCATTGTACTCTTTGAAGTAACTTGTACTCTCTGCTTCTAGATGCATCGTTACCTTGATACAGGTAATAAGGCATACACTGGAGATGGATGCTGCTGCTAACTTTTGCCATATCTGATTTTTTTCCTCTTAACTGAAAAGCTAAGTTATATTTTTTCAGTAATTAAAATAATGATATCCCTTGTTATTAAAATATACAAATGTCAGCTCACTCATAACTTGGAGCCATCAGCAACAATGTCTTTCTTGGCTATAAAATTAACTGGCAACTCTGTGCCCTTGATATGTGCCCTCAGAGAGTCAGCCACAGAGCTACTCCCTAGGCTTTCTGCTTTGGACTTATGCATCAAACCAGGAGACTGGAATAACCAGGGTTATGGCTTATTGACATTTGCTAATACCAACCGTTTTATGATTCTTTCTCCCACCATATAATAAAGATGTTTTCACTTATGGAGCAATGTAAGCGCACATTGATTTTATCACGTAGCTTTAGCTTTCACTGCAGTCTTAGAAACCCAGAGCCATGTGTAAATTCCAGCAACAACCAGGGCATGCTAGGAAGGCTTACCCACCCGCACTGGAGGCTTCGGCTGCAATACTGATGATCTATTATTTGCTGGATTTCCATAATCTGAATTGAACTGATAGTTGTATCAATCCCTAAATTGAGAAGAAATCGAGAAAAGAAAATAAACTTTTCTGTAAGGGAAAAGAATATTGTATTCCAGCCATACTCCCCAAATTACAGAATGGAAAGTAAGAGTTTCCTAAAGAGATTCCATTCGCATTTAAATGGAAAAAAGGAGGAAAAGAAAGGGAAGAAGGCTTTTGGGGGGTGGTTATAATAAACTTTAGCAAAACTAATAAAAACTCAGGCTCCAATAAACATCCCCTATAACATCCAAAAGAATTTCTGGACCATGGAAGTCCTACTAAATCAAAATTTATTGAAAATGGAGGGTACAACATGAAATGCAATCTGTTTCAGAAAACAGACTAAAAATATAATCAGAATAGAAGAGGAGGGCAGGAAGTTCAAATAAATTACGAAAATCCATGGAGACCAACCATAAGTTGTCTGGTAGTGAGCAGCCATTTCTAATGCCTCATTAGTGGTTAGGGTGGCATAGATTATAACACGCAGTCCCACGAATATGCGTGGTAGGCAGGCTGTAGCCTCTGTCCCTTCTCCTCACTCCAGCAATGCTTTTACAACTTGTTAGTCTGCCTGGCCCCACAAAACCAAAGAATAGTGTCACTTAAATGTCAACTTACAGTCACTCCCCCAGTCAGGGCCACTAAGCACATTTCTCGCCGGGAATGATTTGCTTCTGTCTTCTGAAGAGGAAACAAGTCTGTCAATCTTGAAGCCTTGCTCAGGAGAAGAGATGAAACCCCATGTGTGATCTAGTTCATCTCTGTGAGTTCAGTGTTTCTCCACCCTTTCTGTCTCCCATCCTTTAACCCATCTAATCTCTATCCTATTTCTCATAGATCCAGTTTATTCTCACCCTTCTGCAAGAAGTCATCTGTTATAGACTATACTGGGTCCCCCTTCCCAGCTACCTAATTCAAATGCATATGGTGAAGCCTTATTTCCCATTTCCCAGTACCTCAGAACGTGACTGTTTGTAAATTGGGCCTTTAAAGGAGTGATTAAGTTAAAATAGGCTATTAGGGTGGGCCCCAATACAATCTGACTTGTGTTCATGTAAGAGCAGAAGATTAGGACACACAGGGAGATCCTAGAGCTACATGTACACAGAAGAAAGACCATGTGAAGACACAGCAAGTTGATAGTCATCTGCAGGCCCAAAGAGAGATGCCTCAGAAGAAATCAGACCTGCTGATACCTTGATCGTGGACTTCCAGCCACCAGAAATGTGAGAAAATAAACATCTGTTGTTTAAGCCACCCAGTAAGTGGTATTCTGTTATGACGGCGAAGCGGACTAAGAAACCATCCCCAACTAGGTCTGCAGCTCACAGATCCCTCCTCTACAATGTCATAGCATTTGTCACTGAACCATCTAGATAGTCATCAATCAGTGATATAACTGTCACCATGCTGAAGGGCATATTACCTCTGTATTATTACTTAACTTTTCATGTATGTTTGCCCTTTCCTGACAATTCCAGAATAGAGAATGTCTATTAACATTCTTTGAATCCTCTGTAACCCCTGGCATAACGTCTTGCTCAGTCTATAGAAACTATTTTTCTTTGATTAATGATAAGCTAATGATAGTTTTATTTCTTATCTAGTTTGTGAATGAACATTGTTAATTGAAAGTACTATATTTAGATTATCTGGATTCTTTTTTCTCCATCTTAGTGTTGCTGTCTCAGGATTACACCTGCTAATGTAAATAAAGAAATAAGTAACCAAGGAATTTCTGTTCAAACACCTCCAGTGACAGGGGACTCACTGCACATTCTTCTGCTGGGCAGTGCTAAATACCAGTTTTCCCTTTTATTGAGCTAGCATCTGCCCTCCTGTTGATCCGTTTTTAATCCTGATGTTGCTTCTTGAGTGAGTATAACAGGCCCTAAAGGCAACTGCTCTGCCTAACTGAAACCTGGCTCATATGAAGTTGCAAAGAGTAGGGACATACTCATTAGTCATATTTATTTTCCTGAGTGAAAGCAAAGCCTATGAAAATATAACATTTAGAAACTAGCAAGGAGAAAGAACTATTCCTGGAGATCCCAGGAGAAAGCATGGAGATTTCACTGAATAATCCCTTTGGAGGTGAGTCCAGGTAGCACCAGGGCCTAGCGTCAAATGTATACTGGTCCCCACAGGTTTTTCAATCCTGCCTACTTCTGTGATCTCTCTGCTACTTGACACATCCTTTTAAAACACAAAGTAGGTTCAAGGGCAGTAAAGAGACTGGGTAAAAATGAAGAAAAACAGGAGCACAACTATCCCTACAGTAAAATAATGAAACATTAACTTTCTTCATACAAATAGAGTTTGTGTCTCTAAAGATAAGCAAAACTTATAAAACAAATTGAGCATGTCTTCCTAATTGCTTTAATGACTAGAATATGAAATGTTAGAGGAAATTCTGTGGGACATATATTTTTGCATTGAAAAATAACAATGATAATTACACCTGCTATTTGTTGATGCCTACTTGAGGGAACATTGTTCTGAGTGCCTTACAAAAGTCGGAGAGGGAGGTTATCCCCCCTTGACAGATAAGCTAAGTGAGGTACTAAGGACTCATCTGGTGGGTAGGAATAAAGAGATTCCAATTCACACCATCTGATTCCAGAGTCCACAATTTTTCTATTTTGGGAGTCTGTGAAATATGATCCACGTAGGAAAAAAACTGAGCCTAAAGTCTAAGGTAGGGGTGTCCAATCTTCTGCCTTCCTTGGGCCACACTGGAAGAAGAAGAATTGTCTTGGGCCACACATAAAATACACTAACACTAATGATAGCTGAAGAGCTAAAGACAAATTTTAAAGAAAATCTCTCATAATGTTTTAAGAAAGTTTACAAATTTGTGTTGGGCCTCATTCAAAGTCATCCTGGGCCATATGTGGCCGATGGGTCATGGGTTGGACAAGCTTGTTCTAAGGTAAGGCTTGAGCTGCAGCCAGTGAAGGGAGGAATCAGATTGCTGGTGTGAGGCCAGAGCAGGCTTGCAGGGAGGGAGCCCAGGGAATGGCTAGTCTCCTGTCATCACCCAAAAGGCATTTTAAATGCAATTATGAAAAGGTACCCATTCAGATGAATGTCATTAAGGCTATTTTTTAATGTATGTTTTTAACATAGATAGTGAAAGCAATCATTTAGTGAGTGGGTTGCTAAACACACCTAATAAAATAACTTTATGGCCGGGCACGGTGGCTCAAGCCTGTAATCCCAGCACTTTGGGAGGCCGAGGTGGGTGGATCACGAGGTCAAGAGATCAAGACAATCCTGGTCAACATGGTGAAACCCTGTCTCTACTAAAAATACAAAAAACATTAGCTGTGCATGGTGGCGCGTGCCTGTAATCCCAGCTACTCAGGAGGTTGAGGCAGGAGAATTGCCTGAACCCAGGAGGCGGAGGTTGCGGTGAGCCGAGATTGTGCCATTGCACTCCAGCCTGGGTAACAAGAGAGAAACTCCGTCTCAAAATAAAATAAAATAAAATAAAATAAAATAAAATAAAATATAATAAAATAAAATAAAATAAAATAAAATAACTTTATGAAGTTTTGACAGTCTTTTTTTTGTCCACTAAACCAATATTTTTATTACTTTTTTGTCCTGTGTCCTAATTTTTCTTATGTTTAAAAAAAGGAAGAAGAAAGAGAGGGGGTTCTAAGGGGTAAAATCTTTTTATGGTGGGTCCTGTATCTTGCTGCAGTACTTGACTGGGACTTTGACCAACTCAGCCAGTCTCAGCACCCTTATTTCCAATATTTAAAGTATACATGAAAGAAATTAAAATTCTATGAAGATTCTATAGTTTGGAACTGGTTCCTTCTTTTAAAACCAGACAAGTTCTGGTCAGAAAAAATGGGGAAGCTTTCAAATGAATACACAGACAGTGAAAGAAATAAAAGGGATTCTCCCATAAATCCAAAATTGCAGGTAGAATTCAATTATTTTATTTCCAGCTTTGGAATACATGTTTTGGACTTGTGCTTGAAATACCTATCTAAGACCTGGGAAATGGTCCCACCAACAAGTGGCATCATCTTTTGGAGCCTTTTGGCCTAAACTTTCCTGCAAGGTAAATGTATACATAAGTTTAAATAAAGAAAATGATTGCACCCATTAGAGCTTTAATGGGACCAACATAGAGGTGATCTAATAAAAAGTTAAGACAGTCTTTTCATTGATGTATGAAATTGACGTCTAATATTCGCTTTGTTTTGCAGAATATTTTAATATTCAATTTTAGTTTTGCAGAATCCTGCTATAGGAAAAATGGAGCTGTTTGGCGCATTTGTAAAGAAAATTATGCTGGACCTAACTATGAAACGTAAGCCAATAAAATGCTCTATTTTCTGTGTAGGTTAAAGGAAGCTTTCTGTTTCTTACACTCAACAGCTCTGCCATACTCCCATTCAGTTGGTATTAAAGGAAATGCTTAAGAGGGGTGGAGGGACCACATTTCAAAACCCCTTAGGGAAGCTTTTCCCAAATCTCATGCCCCAGATACAGCAAATAACAATTTGCTTCCCAGGGCTCCAGGCCAAGGCCACATCTCAGGATAAGCACACAGGGAAAAAGGAAATTGAAGATGTGTATTTTGAAAAGACTCTCTAGGTGGTTTTAGAACACTCTCTTTTTTAATTTGCAGATTTAGATCTATGTTCAAGTTTCAGTATCCAATTTGAGGATAGAAAGCAAAAGCAATAGTACACAATACTTGGGGACAATCACTCCTAAACATCCCTGACCTGGTTATAACTCCTCTCACTAGGCGGAAGGATTAGTTTACTTACCCATTCACCTAACTGTGGGCTCCTTGAAGACTACATCCTATTTACTATTGTATCTCAGATAGGGTAATTCTGGTGTCATGGTGGTTCTCAATGAATATGGGTGAAAGGATGGAAGGAAGAGAGCCAGGGAAGAGGAAGGAAAAGAAGAGGGAAGGGCCAATTTAACGTTTACGAAACTTTCCTCTTACACATTCACAGGGAAAGTTCGCAGGGGAAGAGTGCAGGGGGATGCTGGGAATGAATGTGGGAAACTAGGCTCCTTTACGCTATTAGCAAAGGAAGCAAGACACAACTGGAAGGCAGGGCAAGTTTCTGAGCCCAACATGATGCTTTCTATTAAGAAGAAATGGGTCCTGATATATGAGAAGTTTCTAGAAAATTGAACATTTATTTTCCTTTACATGTAAACATATATGCTGCCAAAAAGGCCTCCAGATTTCTGGGATTCTAGCTATTCCAGTAATAATTTTCAAACACATCTTCTGCTATTAGTTTTGCTTAAGACTGCTTCCACAGAAGGTTGTAAATTTACAAGGCAAATGAGGCATAAAGAGAAGTGGAAACTAGGATTTCTCTATCCTGTCTGTTTTCTTTTCCTATCTTGTGTTCTACTTGTCTGCTGAATTTGCAGAAAAAGAGTTCATTATAAATTCTGGCAATAGAACTACAGATTTGCCTTATTCCACAGAACTGTGGTTTCAGGTCCTGGAGACATAGAACCCTATGAATATGATTGAGTGGATAAAGTTTTTTTAAAAAACAGCAATAAATAGATGGGAATGAAGAAAGATAATCCTGCAGATCAGAATTATAAAAATGATTTTTCAAATACAATAAATAAAATGTAAATCTCCCATAAAACACCTCCAATTTATCACTTCTCTGAAAGAAGACTAACTGACTCTGAAAGGCTGGTTATAAGAAAACCACAAATCTTCCAGGAATCATACAGGAAGTCACACAAGCATACTTTCAGTACCTTCTAGAGTTGATCTCATTTTACAAATGCCTTCCAGTGATATTCACTATAAGCTTCATATAGTATATTTCCTGCAGTTTTCATTATAAAGTTGGAGATATATTTCACAATTGGTAGATGAGCTCTCCCAATAAACTAAATTAGAAACTTCTGGAGAGTAAAGATTTAGGATGCTGCCCAACAAAAGCATACTCTTGTCATGGCAGAAGGTGTATATTGCACTATTTGCAAGACTGTGTTGGCGGCTGAGCCCAGTACAGCATCTTGGACACCTTTCTCTTCCCTTCACTGAACCAGACTCGTGTGCTATGAAGAAGTCAATGAGCCCCACCAGATGGCCGAGTCCTTTAACACAGGGGACCATTTTCTTCTGGCCATTCCCTTTTCTCAGAGTCATGGTCTCCAAAACAAAATGAGCATGAATCCCAGATATTTTTTAAATCTTCACCAACTCTAACATATGCTGTAGAATTCCACTGATGCTTTTCTCCACAGGGTCTTTACTTTTTAATATCTAACACTCCTGTCTACTTAAATCTTTATTGGTTCCATGATTTAAAACCTAATTCATCACATTCAGATGGTTCCTTAGAGTAGAAGTTCAATATTTCAAAATACTTACTTTCTACCTCCTGGTTAGTCTTATCCAAGCTTTTTATTAAGTGAGGGGGAGAGGGAGAGGTAGCCTTTCTGAAAGATACTTTATACAAATACGATCAACTTTGGCCCAAAAGAAGGCTAATGACTTGAGCTCAGCATGTCATAAAAATGCTGATTTCCCTTCACTTATTTCATTGTAGTCTTACTCCTAATAGAGGAGGCTCCTAAATGTGTTTAGGCATTTAGTGAACTGCTAGATATTACTCTGCATCCCACTTAGAGCTTTTCTAAGTTTTTTTTTTTTTGTTACCCTTGAATTCCTTTTTTATTTTTATTCCTTAATTTTTAATTGGTCTTTAATGCCTTAGAAACATCTGGCTGAAAAGAATAGTTTCCTAGACTTCTCCTCTTTTGTATTTAGAAGCTCTGGTGTTATACAGTGCCCTGAACAGAGGGGAAGAATAACCAGCAGCAGAAGAGAAAAGGCTTTGCTCAGACTCCGAAATATCCCACATCAAGGACGTTGCAATGGCCAGAGGCACTTGCCAGGAGGAGGCAGAAGAGGCCATCAAGTGGATACTCTCTGCACCTTCTAGAGTCGATCTCAGGTGCATGCACATCCCATGTCCAAATCAATGGACGCAGGATGGCAAATGGGAAGGAACCCAGGACAGGGATACAGGGGACCCAGATTTCAAATCCAACTTTTCTAGAAAGCTGAGGAATCTTAAGGAAGATCTAGCGCCTCCATTTCAACCACTGAAAAATGGGAAATTTGGTATAAATCAGCAGTTCTCCTGATATTGGGTCCTTGGAACCTTAGGTGATTGCCTAAAGGGGTCTGTGGCGTTGTCTGTAGACTTGAAAAGCAGCATCTCTCCTACAGATTTGTACTATTTTTCAAACGCCACTGTTGGAGTAATAAAAACAACTCAGTTAAAGGCTTAACCAAATTTATAGTTACATTTGCCCTTTATGTGTTTTCTCAATCACATCATTGTACAAGTATGCTTATAGTAGAATCTCAAGGCCGAAAAGTCGGACGCCACTCACGTAGCTGTTCTCTGAGATTCTGTGACTAAATCTCCAAAAGTTTTCGGGGTTTCTGAAGACAAAAGTGAATCAAACATTTGAATCCTTTCCATTTTTCTCCAGTTGACAAAAGGAAGAGGGAATGACTTTCCCAGTGTATCGCAGAGCCTAGTAAGGCAGAACTTACGTTGCATTTGTAGTCAAAGAACCTATTAGTTCTGCCTAGGTGGACACAGCCTGGCACCATGGAGCAAATTTTCTTTCCTTAGGAATCACTTCTTTCTTTAGGAGTTTACATAGCTATAGAAACAAGATAAGCAGATACTCATCTTGTTCCTAGACTATTGTTTTTAGGAGAAAATTTCTAAAACCAGTAATAAATTAGTATACATTTAGAAGAATTGTATATAATCTTATGGACATGATTACACTTATAGCCCTTAAGTTTCTATAATGTTTTTAACATGAAAATTCTGTATTTTCACAAAGAGAGCACAAGACTTGATCTGGTTTAATAAGGGCTATTCTTCCCAATATAGACATGCATTGCTTAACTACACGATTCTGTGAAATATGTCATTAGGCAATTTCATTGTTGTACAAACATCACAAAGTGTACTTCACAAATCTAGATTGTACAGCCTACTACACACCTAGGCTATTTTGCTTCTTGGCTGCAAACCTGTACAGCATGTTACTGTAAATACAGTAGGCAATTGTAACACAATGGTAAGTATTCGTCTATCTAAATATATCTAAATGTAGAAAGAATACAGTAAAAAATAGAGTATAAAAGATAAAAACTAGTCCACCTGTATCAGGAATTTACCATGAATGGAGCTTATAGGGTGGAAGTTGCTCTGAGTCAATCAGTGAGTGAGTGGTGAGTGAATGTGAAGGCCTGGGACACTACCACACGCTACTGTAGACTTTATAAACACCATACATTTAGGCTATACTAAATTTATAATTAACTTTAGCTTACTGGAACTTTTTTACTTTTAAATTTGAAAAAAACTTTTTGACTCTTGTAATAACACTTAGCTTAAAACACAAACGCATTGTACAGCTGTACAAAGATATTTTCTTTCTTTATATCTTTATTTTATAAGCTTTTTCGATTAAAATTTTTTTTCCTTTTAAGCCTTTTCATTAAAAACTAAAGTACAAATACACACATTAGCCTGGCCTACACAAGGTCAGGATCATCAAGGCAGTAAGAATTTTTCAGCTCAGTTATTATCTTACGGGACCACTAGTGTGTATGTGGTCCACTGCTGACTGAAATGTCATTATGTGGCAATGACTATATTCCCTCAATGTGAACAGCTGGTTACTTCAGGAATAAGCTTGTTCGGGGGTCAAGAAACCCTTGAAAATGCAGAGTGGACCAGTCTGCGACCTCTTCCTATTCAGGATCTTTTATTAGTACATCTGTCACAGGTGAGATGGTCTCTTCTGAGGACTGCTTTCAGAAAGGAACCTCAAGTGTCCCCAGCATGGACTCCCAAGGTAAGAAAAGTGTTTGCCAGCCACAATGTTCCATGTGCTTTCACAAGGGATAAAAGCTTAGGGGATTTTTGTGATAGTTCTAGATTGTTTCATATTTTAAAATATTGAGACTGAAATGAATTCCTTTCTTTAAAATGAACCTTTACTTTACTCTACAGTGATACATCTGCACCTAAGTTCAATCAAAAATAGTTTTCATGAGAAAAGCTCATTGCCTCCTATTGTTGTAGGGAAAGAACTCTCTGAGTCTCAGCTTCCTGACTGGTAAAAACATTGGGAAAATAATGGTACCTATCTTGAAGGCTTATGAAGATTAAATGATTTCTCACATAAATTACTTATGACAGTACCTTGCATAGAGCCATACTTCATTACATCATATAATCATGATGATGATGACAATTTGTAGAAGTTATTTAACCAAGACTAGGATATGGAATAATGTCAAAAGGGAAAGGAAATTACATTGTACCCCAACATTTCAACTACTGACCATATTCTATATAGGTCATTAGCACCACTTATAGGTATTTTGGTTCATTTCTCCAGACTCATTAGGTCTGTTCTTCCCCATCTGTTTTAAAATTAGACATGACCAATGTGATGTGACCAGCTTTGGCCAATAAAGTATAAGCAGAGGTGATATGTGTTAACCTAGGTGGAAGCTATTAACAGTCAGTACATAATTTGCATTGTTCTTTTACCAATACTACAGAGACTGTGGAAATAAGTATTGTGATGGAGTCTTCATCAGCCAGATCCTAAATGACATGATGACCAATAACCCATTTTTGATTCACATTTAATATATGCAGTGAGTCAGAATTAAGAAGCCACTGTTATTTGAGAATTGTTGTTATGACAGTATCCTAATCAGTAAGCCACAGTAATATGTATCCTTGTTAGCATCATCATTAATATTACTTTAGATAGTTATTAATATGTATATACAGAATAACATTTCTAAAAACAATAAATTAGTATATATTTGGAAGAATTGTATATAATCTTATGGATATGATTACACTTGAAGTCCTTGATTAAGTTTCTATAATTTTTTAACATGAATATTCTGTTACTTGGAAAACATTGTATTTGTGTATGTGTGTGTGTGTCCCCAGGAGGAAGAAGAAAAAGTTATTCTGAAAGTGGAATGCCAACCTTGTGTTTTTAACTGACTTAAATCTCACCCTGAACTCTAAATTAGAGTTTCCAAAGTCTCTTACATTTTGCCCTAGTTGGTTTGGGCAGAGAGCCCAGGTACCACATCATTTTTAAAATTCTAAATGAGCCAAGAAAATCAACCCACATGCATGTAATTACTTCACTTGTGCTACTATTACTATCCTTGCTGGCAATGGACAAAAGTGAACCTTTCATTTGGTGAAAATTATAAGTACTTGAATCAACCAAAATTTCATTCCTGGGCAAGGAACTCAATATTACAGATGATTGCCAGCTTGTGTGTTTGTGTTTTAAAAGATTTTGCCACCCCAAATAGAAGCATTATCTGGAACCATTAATGACCATCTAAGCAAATGGTGACAGGAAAAACCACCTCAAGTTCAAAGCTCTAGTTGCTTCTCTTTGAACATCATTTACCTGACCATTGCCCCTGATGGAATTCCTTGTCTTCAGATTGTCTTTGCACAGGACTTGAAAACACTCTTTTCATTCCCCAGATGGGGCAGCAATAAGTCTCCTGACATGGCAGGATTTCACAGAAAGTAATTTCAGGTACTCGTAAGGAGGCCGGTGTGGTTGCCAGGGATGTATTAGGTGCTGCAAGGCATTGGGCAGAGGGGAGGGAAGCAAGAAGGTTAACCTGAAAGGCTGGTTTCTTCTGTTGACAGTTCACATGAAACCGGGTCTGAGGGTGAGGAATGTGAAGACTTTACCTGAGGAGGAGGCTGTGGGCAGCAGAGCTGGCTCCTGAGAGCTCATGATATTGCTGGAGAAAAAGAATGAAATGATTAATGAAAGATGCCTGCAAACATCCTTCTCTCCAAAGGAATTTTAGGCCAGAAAATGAAATTGAACTCTCACCTTGGAGGGAGATTTGGGGCACGTCGGTTTTGATCTTTTAAGCTAAGTATATAAAGGACGACAATCGTCAAAGCACTGTCAAAAAAAAAAAAAGCATTATGTGGCAGATTTGTTTCCAGATATATCTCACACATCCAGCTGGCCAGAGATGTACTCTCACAGGCCACACAGATGGGAGCAGGGGGGAGGGGGTGGCTACGGCTGACAGAAACACCATGGAAACCAGCACGGTTACGCTCTCTGCCCTGGAGAGAAAAACCCCCGGCTTCCTGGAGCTCAGAGGCTCCTGGGTTTCTCCATGCTGCTGGATTTTCCCACAGAGCAGTCCCCCGGCCCTGGCAAGCTGTCTCAGAGGCGCCTGTCACTCGTGGAAGATTACAAGAGGAAGCGTGTACGTTGCTGGAGGCAACTGCTCCTTGCAGAGAAGAGTCAGAGCAGTTTGTGTCCCACCAGCGGAGGGCACTGGCACTGTCACCCTGAGAGATGGAAGGCAGCACAGGTCTAGTCAGCTGTGGATTCCAAACCCTCTAGCTGCTGCTCTGACATCTTCCTTCTGGCTGCCTGTCTCTTCAGAGCACAATACACTGAATAGGTCAGAGGAAAAGAAAGAACTGCAAGAAAGGATTTGTTTCCACACTGTGAGACTTCAAAATAAGGAAGATGTCTTCTCCCCTATCATCGAAACTTATATATCCTAATGGAAGCTTTCCTTAAGGGTTCTGAGCCTTGGGAAGCTATTCCCCCAAATCCTCATACTTAGTGTTCTCCTCTTTGTGGGGGCATCTTTAGAACTCTCTCACAAGTCACACAGAAAGTCTGCTGATAGTTTTACAGCTCCGTTTTGTGCTAGGCTTGAAAGAGTTACCTGACTTGACTTCTTGCCAGTTTCACGTCACACCTGGTTCTCCAAACTTGACTCCCATTATTTTGCTCCCCATCAAAGGTGCTGGATTTACCATTAGGATACACACACACACACACACACACACACACACACACACACACACACACACTAGGCCATATGTTTGAATTCTGCTCATAAAAAACAAATTCCCAAAGTGTTCTCCACATCAGCTAGTTACTGCCCAGCAGGCACAACACTGCCTGGGAAAAGTGGTGCTGAACCCCAAAGATGCTGTCAGATAGAATTTATAGCATCATCATGGTGATTGTTTGCTGTGGTCCAGTCAACAGAGACAGGAGACAGATAAGTCCTAGGCAGACAGGTGTGGGTCCCCAGTGAAAACCCACCTTCAAGCCAAAACAGCCTGAAACCCACAGCCCAGAGTGAGAACGTCTAGTCCTGTTTTCCTACTCTCTTCTGATTGGTTCTATCTGAATAATGCCTTTTAACCAATCGAATGTTGCTTTCTTCAATAATACCTAGGGCATGCCCCATTCCCATCCTGTGCCTATAAAAACCCCAGACTCAGTCAGTAGAGACAGAGCCAACCTGACTTTGGGGAAGAGATGACCTGACTTTAGGGAAGAGATAACCTGACTTTGAGGAAGACAACCTGACCTTTCCATCCCCTCTTCAGCTCCCTTCTCCATTGACAGCTGTTTTATTTGCTCAGTAAAATTCTCTGCTCTTCCCACCCTTCAGTCATCAGTGTGACCTCATTCTTCTTGAATGCTGGACAAGAGATTGGGACCCACTGAGTGCGGGTGCCCAGAAAGGCTGTATCATTGGCCCTCTGCCCTCACCAGTGGAGGGCAGCTGCCCCACGCGACAAGAGCAGGGGTCAACTGAGCTGCTAACATACTGTTGTGCATTGGGCTGCAGATGGCAGAGCTAAAACAGCTAATTAGCACACTAACACCTTCCTGGGGCTTCAGGGTCCCAGGCACCCTTGCCGGGGCATTGCCGTGTTCCCCTGGGAGTGACATGCCTGGTCTGGCCACAGGCCCTGCATGGAACTTGGTCCTGTATCAGTGCCTGGAGTGGCTGCCCAAACCCCACATTCACTCGCTCATGTGCTCCCACTCAGCTGAGCACGGTGGGCCAAGTAGATAGATCAACCCTGCTGCGAGTCCAGCAAAAAGGCTGAAAAAATCCTGTGTCACGGTCTCCCCTTCTTAGTTCTCCTACCTCTCCCACTCTCTATCTCCCCATTCTAACTTTAAAATACTCTTTATGATTTGTGTCCAGCATCTGCCTCAATGCATACCCCAGAAAACTTCTAGGATCACAGATTGAAATGGAAATCTGCTTCATTCTTTCAGGGCAAACCCTGGTTTTGACCCTGCTCAGGTATACCACAGGCCAGAAGCAAGATAATACACCTAATACCTTCCATTGATGGTCTTAGTGGTAAACAATATTGGAAATCATAATATCTAATAAGCATGTTTAAAAAGCAGTCTCTTTACCTTAAAATTAGACTTCTTATAACCTTTCCACTGGGCTGGGAATCTGTGTCTCTAGAGAATGCTAAGTATGTCCACTAAGATAGAGGTTCACACTCTCCTGAGTTGGGAATCCCAGCAAGAAAAGACAGGCACACATAGGAGAAAGAGAGAAGTGCAAAGGCTTCTAATGGGAATTCTGGGTAGGGATGTCAAATCCTTGGGTATCTCCTGACAGTGGGCAGTAGCAAGTCAAAAGTGAAAACACTAAGGAATGAGAAAGGCACAGATAAAGCTACATTATCTTCTCTAGCTAGGACACTGCTTTAGATCAAGGAACTGGAAGTACCTTGAAACCACAGATTGCTTTGCCCATGAAAATAACTGTCTTCCCTAAGACAAGCCCCAAAAGCCAGTTCTTTCCCATGCTAACAAAGCATTTTTTGAGTGACAGATAAATACCCTTTCACCATATGAATAGTCAGACTAAGAACAAAACACATGCATTCAAAGGCCCAGAGAAGACAGGCAAGAAAACACAGCAAGATGACCAGGTCTCAAAAGCCCAGTGTGGTGGGGGAGGGGAATCACAGCAGCAAAAGGCCAGAGGCCTGAAGAAAGGGCCTTGCATTCTAGCAAAGGCTGCTTCCTGTCTTTGCGGGCTGCAAAGGAGGGATGGCGTCAAAAGTTCCCCAATTTACATAGCAAATACTGTTGTCTTCACTGTATTGGCTTGGTTTAACTCCATCACATGGTACATCTTGGTGTCCCTTTGGTAAAAGGCCTTCACTGAAGAAACCAGAAGAGTTATCGTAAATATGAGTGACCAGGGGAGAGTGGATTATACCTGATTGCCTATTTACTTCTTTCCCCTAAGTCAACAGAAAACAGAGTTTGAGAAAACTCTTTGTTTTCAAAGCTAAGAAAGATACCACACACATACACACACACACACACACACACACATGCACACACAAACACACACGCGCACAAAGCATAGTTTGCTGCTGAACATAGCAGCTAATTGAAAAAAAAAGTCACATTTAAATGCAGAAAGCCAGTGCTTTTTTCTTCAAAATATGAGTTTTCAACAAGGGTTCCCTCATTTTTACACTATCAAAGTTCAGTGTCTAAAGGGTTTCTTGTCTTCAAAGTAAACAGGTCAGTCCCCAGTTCACATGTGATAAAAGAAACATGGGAAGGAAAAAAGAGCTTGACATAGAATAACAGTGAACTTTTTCTTACCAAAATGCCATCACAGCAATCAGAGTTATAACCAAGGTCTGGAAAACCCAGTTCGGACATGCCTGTCTTTTTCCTGAAAGATAAACCTATAAAAAGGTTCAGTAATGAGCAGTGATAAATTAGCAACTCTGTGAGAAGGGAGCCTGGAGAATTGCTCCCAGCAGGGGTATTTGCTGCTCTCTAGGGATGGTTTGAGTGCTTGCCTCAATTTACATCTCTTTCCTCCCCACTGCCTCTCTGAAAACAACATTCTTTCAAAGTCTATCTCAAGTCCCTCCGTTTCCTTGAAATTTTATGCTACAGCAATCCCTCTTTTCCCTGACATCCTGCAGACAATGGTCTATGCCACTCATTGGGCACTTCTCTTTGCAGTTTTATGAGAAAGGGGGGCCTGAGACAAGGTATTGTCAGACCACAGATGTCCAACTCTTTGAGTAAGATACTCTTGAAAATCAAAAGATCTTCAAGACATAAAGAGATGAATCCCAATGGAACGATTTCAGGTATCATGACAAATGATGAAAATGGTTTTTATAGAATGAAATCCCACTAAATACTCCTTAAATTACAACACCAGTATTCAATTTTTCACCTATATATACAGATATCTCTGGGCCTGTGTCTCATTTATTCTTATATTCATTCAATAAATATTTATTGAACAGTATTATGTACAACACCATAGGAGACATGAAAATGAGTAAATTATAGTCTCCAGGATGTAAATGAGACAAAGCTTTAGGACTGATACATACTGGCATAAAAGCTTGCATATGGAGAACAGGCTAAGAGCTACAGATTGACAGCTGTGGAATTGCTGGGGAATCTGGCCGAAGAGATAGGAGAGGTTTTCTACCATCTTAAATGAGGTGCTACTTAAATATGAGTTTCCTATAAATGCAATAAGCTGTATTACGTCTGCTCCCTTCTGTGGATATAGGACAGAGTTATGCTTTTGGTCATTAGAGTATTAAAAGGTGGTAATAGTTTTAAATTGGTTCTTGGTTTAATTTATTGGGCTGATATCTGACTAAAGAAAATGTTCTTCAATGTAAAATAGGTGGGGGACTGGATTCACTATACCATTTTTTTACCACGTACACAAACCCTGAGGGCTATTATAACTGAGTTATCCTTCTGATGACCAAGAAGTCAATGGTTTATACTGTTCTGAGGTCTCACAGAAACTGTTCTGAGGATGTCTTAATAGTGTACTGTACAGAGAAGAAACTCAGTGAAATTTGTTGAATTGACTGGAGTTAAATAGCATAGTCTCAGGATAAGCGTTGTCTCCTTCAGTCTACCCCCACAGCTGCTGAATTATTTTAAGTCTCCATGCTTTTGCTCAAAATCCTTTGACCTAATATAAATGGCCTAAGACCTGGAGTCAAACTTGGAGTTGCATCTTCAAGTTATCTAAATGTCATTGATCCTCATTGTTTTGGAGCTGAGTCTTCAAGTTATGTAAATGTCATTTGTCCTCATTTTCTTTATCAATAAAATAATGGCTACCTACTTTTCAGAGTTACTAGGTACAGCCAATGAACAGTGTAATGACTCGCAAATTAAGGTGTGCATAGAACTACTATGGTGCTTGATAAAACCCTAACTGCCCTAAATGTAAAATTCTGATTCAAGAGGTTTTATTTCAGGGAGACTGGGGGTTAGGAAACTGTAAGAAGTAGGATAATGAAAAGTATTTATCCATGTTCATTTTTCTTTTTTTTTCCCCATGAATTGGAAGTCTTAATGTTGTTAAAATGTCCAGCCTACAGAAAATGATTTATATATTTAAGGAAATCCATATCAAAATCCCAATGGAATTCTTTACAGAAATTGAAAAATGTGTCCCAAAGTTTGTATGGAACCATAAAATACCCCAAACAACCGAAACAATCTTCAGAAAGAACAAAGCTGGAGGCATCACACTTCATGATGTCAAAATACAAAACTACTGTAATTGAAATGGTATGATATTGGCATAAAGAGAGACAGAAACCAAAAGAATAGATAGGAATTCCAGATATAAACTCAGGCATATATGCTCAATGATCTTTGTGCAGGGTGCCATGACTAACCAATAGGGGAAAAAAAAAAAAAGAAGCTAACTCTCTTCAACAAATGATGCTGATAAAACTGAAAAAGCTACATGCAAAATAATGAAATTAGGCCCATATATGTTTGAGCTGTTAGATCCTCCTGATGTGGAAGGGCTGGCTTAGGGACTCTTCAAGGACAAGACCATAGGAGCTTGGCCTTCAACCTAGAGAACGCTCTGTTATGTAGCCATAGTTCAGGAACACCATGAGAGCCAGTTGTGCCCTCAAGGATACACATTTTTCTTTTTTCTTAGATAGAGTCTTGCTCTGTCACCAAGGCTGGAGTACAATGGCATGATTTTGCCTCACTGCAGTCTTTATGACCTGGGCTCAAGTGATCCTTCCACCTCAGTCTCCCAGGTAACTGCAACTACGGGCACCAAACCCAGCTAATTTTAAAATTTTTTGTAGAGATGGGAGTCTCACTGTGTTGCCCAGGCTAGTCTTGAACTCCTGGGCTCAAGTGACCCACCTGCTCTGGCCTCCCAAAGCATTAGGATAACAGGCGTGAGCCACCATGCCCAGCCATGTTCATTCTTTCCCTTTCCCTCTCCTCCTCCAAATAGTCAGTGAATTCTTACTTGAATCCTGGGGACCTTCCTATCTCACTGTGAGTCCTACTTATAGCAAGAATGATCCGCAACTCTTGGAGGTAGAGAAAGAGAGAGAAAGAAGAGGAGCCCTATTGATTGAATGAGAGCTACATCAAGAGTCCTCAATCTTCCTCCAGAATGAACACTGTCTTGGCCAGCATTGGGAGCTGTGTTGAAGTAAAGGCAGGGCCCAGCCAGGCTTCTTACGTAGTCTGGTAAGGTCCACCAACTGCCCACAGCAGCAATTTACTCATTAACAAGACCCCCACCCTACCCCAGAATACCACCACTCCCCACTTACACACAAGCATTTCAATGAGCCACAGAGGCCCCAAGGAACAGAGGATACCTAGGAGATGGGTGGTGGCATGAAAGGACAAGTGAACCTCACAGAAAGAGCTGAGATCTCTTAGCAGGTCAGCACAGAGGGAGAAAGTACTTCAGTTATTTGTATTTTATTGTGCTCTCTGGACAAGTCTGAAATAAGAATCATTGACATACTGAGTTTGAACACATTAATAACACTATTAAGCAGCACTTACCATGTGCCACGCACCCTTCTAAGGGCTTTACATATATCAATTTATTTAATCCTCACAATAATCCTCTACAACCCTATGAGGCCAGTACCTTTATCAACCCCATTTTAAGAACAGGAAAAACAAGACACAGGAAGGCTAAGTTTCTCACTCAAGATCACACACCTGATAAATCACACAGCCAGCAATTTGGAGCCCCCCCAAAAAATTGGCTCCAGAATCTATGCTCCTAACCACAATGCTATGCTGCCTCCTTTTTACTGTCTGTTAAAAAAAAGGAAACTATACAACTTAGATATTGTTATTATTCAAAAGGTCTTCATGCCTTCTTTATTTTCTACTATCTTCCCTAAACAACTCCCACCTAATCCTTCAAGGGAGCCAGTTCCAGCCACCAGACTTTCATTTATGGCATTCCATCTGTAACTTCTCCTCCAGTTTCATTGCTGTCTAGCCAAAGCTTACTCCTCCTTTAAGGCTTAACTCTCATAAACCTCCTGACACTCTGAGCCTTTGCAGCATTGATGACATCCAGGTACAACTGTTCTTTATATTTTCCCTGGCTACAATGCCATTCCTTAGAAGAGACCTGACTCATCTTTCCTGCCTCCCACATGCCCTCTACAGTAACAGCAAGAGGTCTCTGAGTTGAATAGGTGCTCTCTAAGGCCTATTTGAGTCCCTGACCCTGGGAACACACTCCAGCTTACATCCCACCCACATACCCAAGACACTGAACCACTTAAATATTTTTGAATTTCATGCTTCCGGGAATATTTTCATACTGGGCTTCCCACTCATGTATTCATTTGACAAATATTTCTTGAATGCCTACTATATGCTATAAAGAGAATCTCTTTATTTTGCAAGATGGGTGCAAGATGGGAGCTATAGAGATTGCAGGTGAGCAAACTGCACCTATCAGGGCTGCCATGGGTATGGATGCCATTCCCTCGATCCCACTGAAAACGGTTTAGTCCAAAGGGCACATTTCCTACATGATATTTTTAGTGTTTTGTGTTGTCGCCTACTGTGTGCTGGGTGCTGTGCAAAGAGCTTCAACTCCTTCAATCCTAATTTAAATCCTATCAACCATCTTTGTAAATACTATAATTGTCTCTATTTCCCAGTGTGGTTGAGAAACTTGCCCCAGAGCACTTCTATGTATGTTTTTACCTGGGTATTTGTGAAGCTTGTCAGCTGCATAATACTTTACTCGTTTTTAGTAGAAGAATTTTGAACTCTTTCTGAATTCTTTTAGAATAATTCAACACAGTATAGCATGAGGAATAGAGAGCAAACTGAGGCAGTGGCACAAATATCAGGTCAATCTTTAACAGGGTGTCAGTTAAGGTCACGAATATCTTCCCCAGGGAAGGGCCACCTTTAGGCCACTGCTGGATCAGAGGGAGCAAGCTGAGTTTTGTAGCTACTTACAAAGTGCTTCTAGGAAGGGTGTTTGCAGCTTCTCCCTTACTGATACTTCTTTGTGATGGAGAGGGTACCCTTCAATTTAATACATGATTAATCTTCACTTTATGAATATTATCCTACTTAATAAATGCTCTCTTTATTCGTTAAGAAAACTGTCACATTTTAACCTTTGCCAGCAAGTGAATACCTATTCTTCTATTTGCATAGTTAGTACTAAATAGCAAAGGGAAAGGAGGGATTTGAGGATTAACTGAAGTCCCTTTGGGATCTCCTGAAGCCAAAGATAAGAGGGTGGGGGTCAAGGCATGTACACAAGTCCGGCAGCACAAGGCCATCTGCACGTGGAAGCTGCGGAGCTTTGCCTGAAGGGGACAACATAAACAAACCTTGCAGATAATAATTCTAAGATTGATATATTCTGTACTCGTTTCTCTAAATGTGGCTTCAAAAAGCCAGTTAATATCTACTAGAGGGCTAATATTTAAACACATGCAGTACATAAGTATACAAATTATGGATTTTCTCGACAAACAAATGAGAAAAAAATTCTTGACCAATTTCTGTAAAGACTTTCTAAATAGAAAATACTGTCTCCTTTTATTGTAAATTTGTCTGTTTACCTTGTTGGTTTTCTTGTGAATGGCTCTTCTTGGAGAAGATGCACTAACAGCTCTGCTACATTTGCTTTAAAAGAGAGAGAAAATTGGTTACTATTCAAATACCTCTCCAGGAGACATAGGACAAAGGCCCAGGCCGTCATTAACACAGCAGTATGAATTTCTTTTGCGATATAGTGATGATTTGAAAAGGAAAAGTCATGGCAATTGAGAGTTCCTTTTGTGAAAAGGAACGTTAGTAAGTATAACTGAATAAATTAAATACCGCATTTCCCTTTTTCTCAAAACCAAACCCCAGAAAATATGCATTTACCTTCTAAAGCAATAAAAAAAAAAAAAAAAAAATTTTCCCCCTGAGGACCAAACATGGTTTTCTAAATTTAGAAATGACCACTTCTCCTCATTAAAGGAGAAGCCAGCCTTGTGCTAAAATTTAGCACTTCCTATAACAATTTTTTTTTTTTGCTATTAAACAGATGTCTCATGGTTTTTTTTTCTACTTTTAAAACAGCAACAGAAAAAAATATAAGAAAGTTATCACTTAAGACAATTGTGCTTCAAAATATTCTAAAAAAATACATACTTTATTATCAGAAAATAACAGTTGCTGTTTGATCAAAAAGATCATTTAGATTGATCTTATTCTGGAAAGAGCTCACTCTCTCCCAAATTTCTGTGGCCATCCTGGCTGCATGTACCTGATTGAGCTTGCTTCACTGGCTGAAGACTTCCAGCTACTGAGCCGCTTGAGCCGGGCCAGCTTTTTGTTCCATATTTCTAACTCTTCTATTCTTTCCTCAAGGTTATTTGTTAGTTTACACAGCTGCTTCACTGCACCTACATTTTCCATAAAGATCTGGTCCTAAAACGGAAAAATCAAAGAGAGTACATAGATTAACAATGTGAGATCACTACGGAGCTGTCCACAGCCCATTCAAAGACAGTTGGAATATATCATTGAAAATGGTTATAAACACACACATCTTCAAGTTTATTCAAGATAAATCTGGAGAGGTTTGAAACTTAATGCGGTCTTCCTAACCTGTTGGCTGTGTAGTAAAACTGCTTCTGTTCAATTTGCAATAAAGTGAAAATATGACCTTGTAACTCAAAAATGGAGCTAAAGGACATTGGTAAGTCTGGAATCTGGAGATTTATTTTCAATGGCCATTATTCCATATTTATAACTCTGAGGCAGAAGAATCGCTTGAACCCAGGAGGCGGAGGTTGCAGTGAGCCAAGATCGTGCCATTGCACTCCAGCCTGGCCAATAAGAGTTTCACTCCATCTCAAAAAATAAATGAAAAGAGAAGAAAAGAGGAGAGGAGGGGAAGGGAGGGGAGGGGAAGGGAGGAGTCAGAACAGGCTTCTGAATGTTAATTTGTGTGTTCATCACCAAAGTACCTTGAAAATGACTCCAGTTCTCCCTAGTAAAATGTGCATCAAATTGCTCATGTGAAGGAAGAAGGAACAAAGACCTGGGCTTTTCTCTGAGTTCTGCCACCGACTAGATGTGAGACTCCAGACATAATGCAATAACCTTTTTGGGCTTCCTTTTCTTTATCTATGAATGAGAAAATAATTCTTGATGCGTCAATATCTGTTTCAACATCCAATGTACTGTTGTGTACTGCTTATATTATAACCTAACTTTGAAGCAATTTTTTTTTTAAAAAAAAAGCACATAGCAGTGGCTCAAGCCTGTAATCCCAGCACTTTGGGAGGCCGAGGCGGGTGGATCACGAGGTCAAGAGATCAAGACCAACCTGGTCAACATGGTGAAACCCCGTCTCTACTAAAAATACAAAAAATTAGCTGGGCATGGTGGTGCGTGCCTGTAATCCCAGCTACTCAGGAGGCTGAGGCAGGAGAATTGCCTGAACCCAGGAGGCGGAGGTTGCGGTGAGCCGAGATTGCGCCATTGCACTCCACCCCGGGGAACAAGGAGAAAACCCCATCTAAAAAAAAAAAAAAAAAAAAAAAAAAGCACATAGTTCTTTCTGTTCACAGAAAGTCACTGACACATCAGAAAAAGAAAGGGGAGACCAAAAAAAGCCATAGAGTCCGGGCCATCCCCTTCCCCACCCACAAACTTCACTTGTCATATGAACACATGTGCCCATCTCTCAGCCATAACTAAAAGCCTGGAAAGCTCTTATCTACTCACATCCCAACCCCATGACCTCTCCTCCTCTCTCTCTCTCTCTCTCTCTCTCTCTCTCTCTCTGTTTACAAGTTCAAAATCCCACAGCACTCTCTGAATTGCAGAAAGGCTGGTCCACTATTGTAAAGTGATAAGTTCAAGGTGATAAGACTGTTCTCAGGGCTACATGCCTTTGAGATTCTTATCATGCAAACTGAAGCTCTGAGGGTTTCAAACACTGTAGGGCAATCACTCAGAAAGAATCAAAAGCTGAACATTCCAGATTCAAGGCTTAATATATGTTCAAAGACAGACATATCTCATGATACACTGGAGAACTCTCTTAAACTCCCAGAGCAGCCACACAGATTTGATGAGGCGTCCTGAACACTCTGTACTCTCCAGTGTTTGAGACCTCATATTCCCATAGTTACCTATGATAAAAATGCCTTCCCTCAAGGCCTGTCCAAATCCCATCATACCCAGTATCTCCCCAGAGACTACTGGTCAGAGAGCACCCCGCACTCTCCAATGTCCTCAAAGTATGTTCAATTCTATCACTTGGCCATTTGCCTTGTATCAGGTGTTACCTGTCTGTCTGCCATCTGGATCATGAGTTCGTGGAAGGCAGAATTATGTTGATTCATTTGCATATCTCACCAGCATTTAGCACATGACTTTGCCCACAAGAAATGCTCAGCAAGAACAGACATAAGTGAATTGAAGAGTGCTATGAGGTAGCAGCTTAGGAAAGCAGAAAGCTTTCGTATTTGGGATACAAAGCAACTAAAGGTTTGATTTCTGAGGACTATGTTTGCTTTAAGAAAACTTAACCAAAAACACACACACACAAAAACAACCACCAACAACAAAAAATCATGCTTGTATCAGCTTCTTGAATGGCATCAGAAAACCCTACATTCTTACTGAAGTTTTACCATTCATCCTTCAAAATCCATCCAAATAACACAAATTGATAAAACCACTACGGAGTAGAATTTAACAATACCTAGCAAAATTACATATATTTTTTTTTTGAGCCCGTAAACCCACTTCTAGGAGTTTATTCCATAGATTTCCTAGAGAAAGCTAAGAAATAAAAGAGACCAAAATCAAACTAAATGTCCATTGATAGGGGAATTGATAATAAACTGTGGGACATTTGCATAGAAGTATACTACACAACTAAAAAATGGAGAATATCTCCATATACTGTTATGGAGCAAAATCTGCAATATAAGAAGAAAAAAGAGCAAAGTCTGTAGCAAAAGAAGAAGACAAAACATATTTATATTTTCTTACATTAATAAAATGAAGAATAAACCAAAAATTAACTAAAAATTGTTACACATAATGAAAAGGAAGAAACAAGATGGGAGAAATGGATAGAACCAGATTCTTTGAATATACCTTGTTTTATAAATTCACGTTTAGAATATGTGAGTATTTTAAATACGTATAAAAAATAAACCAAAGGCCGGGCGCGGTGGCTCACGCCTGTAATCCCAGCACTTTGGGAGGCCGAGGCAGGCGGATCACAAGGTCAAGAGATCGAGACCATCCTGTCAACATGGTGAAAACCCCCTCTCTACTAAAAATACAAAAAATTAGCTGGGCATGGTGGCGTGTGCCTGTAATCCCAGCTACTCAGGAGGCTGAGGCAGGAGAATTGCCTGAACCCAGGAGGCGGAGGTTGCGGTGAGCCGAGATCGCGCCATTGCACTCCAGCCTCCGTAACAAGAGCGAAACTCCATCTCAAAAAAAAAAAAAAAAACCAAAATTTTAAAAACATCCTAGAAATAGAAGGCAAAATAAAACAAATTAGGTATTGAGTTTCTGATTTAACCCTACAGAGAAGATTGATATTAAGTGACCTAAAAGCACAATAATTTGACTGCCCATTCCCAGAAAGACAAAAATAAAACAAACAAAATCAACCAGAAAAGGAATCTTAAGCTTTTCAATAATCATATTGCTAGTAATAACAGTGATGGATTATATACACATAGGCAGCACACATATATGTTTGGATAAAACAAATATGTAGTTAATAATGCTATAAACCAAGATTTTTAGCATTTAAGAAAAGAGATGTAACCATAAAATTAAAACATTTAGTAAAAGCCTAGAATATCTAAATTTAAATTAGAAATATTACTTTGAATTCCTGATGTTTTATTTTTTAAAAGAAAACATTTTTCTAGCTACGTCAACTAAAAAGGACTGGAAGAAAACTTCCAACGTACTAACGATGAACACTGTTCATTGTAGCCTCCAAATACCATTCCCAGTGAAAGGACCCAGAACTTTTCCAGATTTGGGGTAGGATCTCTCTGAAGTAAACCTGGAATATCTTACAATATAAGAAAATAAGGAGCCTATCACAGAGTACTGTGGTTGGGTCACAATGACTCAGGAGCTAACTAAAGAAGTGCTCATTGGCCAAAGATAGAACATCAAAGGACTAACTACCATGATCAAAGAATCAAATGTGCTTTAAAAGCATCCAAAATGCTATTCAATCTTTAAAAATATTTTATTATCACCTTTGGGAGATATTAAGGGTGTAACTCATTTTTCTGAAATGTTATAAATAAAGAAAAGAATAAAACTTTATCCTGCCTGTCTTATATAACATCTACATATTTGAAAGTTCATTTAAGAATTCCAGATAATAAATTCTGGAGAATAAAGAAAGAAGAAATGTTAGAGTATCACTGTTTTCCAACTCCTAATGAAACAACAGATCTAGGCAATGATCCTCAAACTATTACGTGTATTTGTTTCTTTGTTTTATGTATACATATGTAAAAACAATTGGGGAAATTTCAACACCAACTGGATTTGATAATATTAAGAAATTACTCTGCATTTTTAGGTGTGATCATGTTATAGTGGTTTCGGTTTTAAGAGGTCATCCTTCTTTTAGAAAAAAATATTGAAGAATATATAATTAAACAGTATGATGCTGGAGGTTGCTTTAAATAATCTAGTTGGTAGGAGAGGGTAGTTGGTGAGTGATTTAAATAAAATAAGATTGGACAAGAATTGATATTAATAATTGGGAAATTTGAGTGAGACATACATGGGGTTTCATTATTCTTCTCTCTAGTGTTTTATACATTTGAAATTTTTCATTAGCAGTGTGTTTTTTTTAATGACAAAACAAAAACAAAAATCTCCTGACAAAAGCCCTTCTAAATTTCCTAATCCTGGTACAGGTTTTCTTTTATTTCTAAATTTGTTGTAATAAAAATAAGGCAGAAATTATGAAGCTGAAAACAGCATTCTGTGATTCTAAATCATGAAAAATGTTATATCATTATTTACTATATTTACCCTGTAGAGAGCCTTATACTATAATTACAGCCAAATTATTTACAGTGGATCACATGGTCAGCTGATGTGCACCAGCAGCCCAAAGCAGATTTCCAGCCGTCCTCTCTGACCCCTCCCTGCACCCTGCTCACTGGTGGTAACCTACCACTCCAGGCTGTCAGTTCTGCATCCTGAATCTCCCAAAGCTGCCCGCTTCTCTCCATCCTCACTGACACTACTGATTTTCTTTTTTTCCCCTTGGTAACCAACTTCTTTAATAAAAAAATATTTGCTTAATATATTAATTTATGATTTAGCTCAAGCCAAAGCAGACTACGGAGAATTATAATAAAGCTCCCTCCAAACCACAGTAAGCTCTTTCTGTAGTATTTTCCTCAACA